AGGAAGGAAGGAAGGAAGGAAGGAAGGAAGGAAGGAAGGAAGGAAGGCAGATATCCACATAAAGAAGAATGAAGCTAGAACCCCATCTCTCGTGTTCCACAAAAAAACAACTTCAAACAAACCAAAGACTTAACATAAAGCTTCAATCTCTGAAACTGTTAAAGGAAAAACAATTCAAGATATAAGTACATAAATGAGACCTCATGAAGTTGAAGTGCCTAGAAAAGCAAAGGAAACAGTTAAATGAGTAAAGATACAGCCTACAGAACAGAAGAGATAAAGTGCCATGCTATGCTTTAGATGTAATGAATATTTTCTATTCTTCTGTAATTTGCACTTTTATTTTTTTTTATTTTTTTTATTTTTTGGTTTTTCAAGACAGGGTTTCTCTATGTAGCTTTGGTTATCCTGGACTCGATTTGTAGGCTGGTCTTGAACTCACAGGGATCTGCCTGCCTCCACCTCCTGAGTGCTGGGATTGAAGGTGTGTGACACCACCGACCACTTGCACTTTGATGTTTTATCTAGAGTCATCCATGTTGATAAGTACTGTATTCTGTACAGATACATATATAAATAAGCATATGTGAAATAAAGCATCTAGAGTTGGGATGCTTTGTCATTACTTGATCTAAAATAAACAAACAACCCAGAGCCAGGGAGATGGCACAGTTAGAAAAGCATGAAGCCCTGAGTTCAGAGTCACAGAAGACAAATAAAAGGCATGGAAGCACTGTAACCCAAGTGCTGAGGAAATGAGCAGGAGGACCTGGGGCAGGCAGGCCAATTCAGTCTACCCAAATAGGTGAGCAGGTCCAATGAAGTAACCTCATCTCAAAAATGAAGGTGGAATGGAGAAAGACACCTGACACTGACCTCCAGCCTCCAAAGGACACATGGGCATGTGAACCCACACAAACATGTACAACACACATGCTCACACACAGAGAAGGAAAAAAAAATGTTTCAAACAATCCAATCAATAAATAGGCTAGTAAAATCAACAGTTTTCAAAAGATGAACTACAAATGGCCAATAACATGAAAAAAAGTGCAATTTCACCAGCCATCAGAGAAACGCAAATCAAAACTACACTGAAATTGCAGCCTTCTCCAATCAGAAGGGCAGTCATTAAGAAACCAAAAAATGGCCCAAAGCAGTGGCGCACACTGTAATCCCAGCACTCAGTGAGGCAGAGGGAGGGGGATCT